GGGAGGCGGCTGCTGCCCGCCCGCCGCCTGAGCCGCGCCCCGCCGAGCCCGCGCCCGCTCAGCGCAGGTAAGGACAAAGCGGGGCGGGACCCGGGGCGGGCGGCGGGACCGCGGAGCTCCTCACCCGGCTCCGCCAAGCTTTGTCTCGCCTCGCCTGAGCCGGGGAGGGGGCGTTGTCAGCATGGTCCAAGTGGAAACTCCCATTCCTGATCCTGGAGAATAAGGGGGCAGGTGGAGATGAGCCTTGCTAGACTAAGGGAATGAGAGAGAGAGAGAGAAAGCGAGCTTTCCTGAGTGAGTGCACTCATCAGATGCTCACCTCTACATTTGTATCTATCTATACGGGCATCTACGCCTGCATCTATATCTCTGTCTTTATCTACATCTACATCCATTTATATCTATATCTACATCTGCATCTGTATCTTCCTCGGCATTTACCTCTATGTCTACGCCTACATCGACATCGATATCCATACCTACGGCTACACCTACATCTGTATCTTCATCTGTATCTTCACCTATATCTGTATCTTCATCTGTATCTTCACCTATATCTGTATCTTCATCTGTATCTTCATCTGTATCTTCGTCTATATCTGTATTTCATCTGTATCTGCATCTATAGCTTCACCCACATCTGTGTCTTCATCTTTACCTACACCTGTATCTTCACCCACACTTGTATCTTCACCTATATCTACTTCCCTTTATATCTGTGTCTTCATCTACATCCACATCTGTATCTATATCTGTCTTCATCTATGTCCACATCTGTATCTATATCCGTGTCTTCACCTATGTCTACCTCCACATCTATACCTACATCTATAGCCATACCTATGTCTACATCTGCCTCTACACCTACATCTGTATCTTCATCTAGATCTGTATCTTAATCTGTGTCTACATCCATTTATATCTATATCTTTATTTATGAGTGCGTCTATATCTTCCTCTCTATCTGGGGTTCCCAAGCTGTGATATGCATACCTCTGGGGTACGGAAGACATCTCTGGGGCGGTACACAGAAGAAGTCGTATAAGGGCAGATTTAATTTTCCTTATTATAATAATTGGCATTTAAGGGGTTAAAATATGAAATGTATGCTGGTAGAGGTACAAGGGCAACTGGTAAATCTGGAAGGGGGTGTACAACAAGAAAAAGTTTTGGAACCTCTGCTCTCTATCTCCATCTATATCTTCATCTCCATCTCCATCTCCATCTAAGTCTAGGTCTACATCTATATCTACGTCTGCCTCTAAATCTATGTCTGCATCTGTCTTATTTAGTTAGCCTATAAACACGCAGTTCTACCCCGCCGCCTGCCTGACTTCAGACTCACACGGCGAACCACCTCTCTCCTAAAAGAGCAAATCATTCATCAAGAGGACATGAGCCTGCTAGTAAGGTCCGCTCGGAACCAAAACGGCAGCGAGCAGTTTAGCTGGTTCGTAGTGTTTCCGATTTCTTGAATGGTAACCTTAGAGTGCAGCCGGTGTGTCACTCCAGCCAGACTTCAAGGAATGATAATTGTAATTCCATTTGCCAAATATCATTCACTGTGCTGAATGTCAAAAGACACTTGGTTTGTATTCATCCTAGAAGATAGATTGCTGTGCAGAAGTTGTCCTTACAAAATAAAGAAAAAATGGCTCTTCGTGGTATAAGGAAAGGTTTAAACATCAGTATGAAAAAACAAAACAGTGGCAACATGAGGTTGACCTGCATTTCAATGATGCTTTTAAGCTTTGAGGATTATATTGTTCAACAAAATTCAATCACAAACAGTTTGCATATTTTGTGACTTAGCTGCTTTGGTAAGATTGATACAGCAACAACTGTTGTCTTGTTTTCCTGTAAGTAAGATACTCCGATATCCAGTAACTGGAATTGTGTAAGTATCCAGATAATAGATATACATGTCAAAATTCCCCTTAAATTGTTTCTGAATAATTCTATGGAGAAATGCAGAAACTTCTTTAAAGCAGCAAATTATGTTTTAGTGATGTGTAATTGAAAAATGTGTTACTTTCTTTTGAGTCTGGAACATTTTAATGTACTTGTGTTGCTGGTAGATTTACTTTTACCAGGATACTTGCTAGAAGACAGTTATAAGGCAATTTGAGTAATTTGGGAGTGGGTAACAATTACTTTTTGTGCTCAGGATAAAAAACTACACATGTGGAAGGAGATAAGACTTAGTAACAAAATCATATATAATCTGTATTTTGTTGGATACAAACACATTTTACTTGTTCCTTGCTCTTTTGGATTCAGAGTGATCTGAGTGAACGTTGGAAAGGAGATACTAGTATAAAGAATCTGAAAAATTATTTAATTTCTTTGCCCTGAAATGTGTCATAAATGTTCTCATCCATAATGATTTAGTCAGAATCAAAAGGTTCTTCCGTTTCTGCTGAAAGCCTTTCAAAGCAAATTACAAAAAGTGAGCACTAAGGGTTCAGCACTCCAAGGTGTCGAACACTTCAGCCTTCCTCCAGCAAAACCCTTAAGCATGTACTGACCTTTAAGCAGATGAGTAGTCCCAGCTTCAATCCCTGCTGATGATCTCTGTTGAGGTTTATTGCATGTGATAATAGTCCCATTGACTTCAATGAAACTATTTGCTTGCTTAAGTGCATTGCTGGAAAATGGCCAGAGTACACAGCCCCTTGCAGGATCCAGCCATCTTGTTTTTCTCTTTCCTTCAACCTACATGGAAATATAACAGTAAAATACCTGTTGCATATCACATAAACAAAGACTTACTGGTTAAATGTTCTTAATTAAATCATGTCAACAGTTAACCTAGGAAGTACAATGAGACAACTTTTACAGAATAACAAAAGGAGACCGCTGCTAACTGTAGTTTATTCATGTGGAACCAGTATCTGAGGATATTACTCAGGCACCATTCTCACTGAAGTTGCCAAATCCAGATGAAAGTGTGGTATAGAAAAAGGGAGCCTTAAAAGTTACTATCATGAGGAACAAAGCTATTGCATGTTCCCTTCGTTTCTCATATAGGAGTTGAAAGTTTTTCCTGAGTTATGGCTGGGGGATTTGACTGAACTGAGTACATGATGTAATTATTAACGGTGATGTTTCACTGTAGTTTGGTGCCACTCTATTTTGTAAGCAGTACCGTTATTTTATTTAGGAGGGTCTCGATCCTGTCTCAGAAGGATGTACTGTCATGGATTGGAATGCAGTGGCAACAAGATCAGACCCTAAGTTTTGGATCGTTCCGGTGTCTCCTATTCAGATTATGGCTGCTTTACAAAACAAAAAAACAAGAACGCACATCCAAGTGAAACAGAAAAATACATAAAAAGTAATTGCGTAACCAGTGTTTACAGATTTTAATGATGTAATTATTTATTATTAGAATTGTACACAAAAGTCCTAAAAAAGGACTGGGAAACAACTACCAAATAAGCCCCTGACCTTGCAGTCAGATTTATGTGGGCAGATTTGAGCTTCATGAGGATCAGGATCTAGGAAGAATACAATTCGCTTCCTGTTTTAAGTAAATGGATATTCTCATGATTTCAAAAGAATAGCTAGAAATTCAGAATTGTTGCTATTCTATTATCCTGTTGGTCAGATACCTCACTCCATGAACTGGACGACTGACTCTAAATGAGTAAAAAAAAGTTAACCAAAAATGTCAAAGTCAAAAATGAACATATTTCTAAAAGAATAGCATGTATTTGAAAAGAAACAAACAAATTAAAAAACCCCTGTGTTGTTAAAGTAATATCTGATTGGTTATTTCACAAGATGTTTTCTAAGCCAATCAGAAACATAGGTACTGTCTTGTGGATTTCTTTGTTAATGATTTGTCAGTGTGTTTCCTATCTTGCTGTAAAATAAGAAAAAAAATGAGAGAATTTCTTTTGTTCTCTGTGAGTATTTGATCCTTGGGAAGGAGGTGGAGAATGGGTGGGAAGGTGAATTATATCCCCTACCCGGGGTCTGCCTGGGAGGTGAGTGCACAGACTTACAGTGCAGCTTAAGTCTCTCCTACCACTTGTGCTGGTGGTTTGGAGCTCCAATACTTGACTGACATGAAGTTTATGAGGCACGGAGGGCTTTGTGCTAGTCCTCCATGACAAGAGTGGAATTTACTCTAACGGTACAGCAAGAAAACTGTCATTCTATTGTGCTAATATCAATTTTCATAAATGACCAGGTTCGGTACCTCAGTGTACATGCAGAGCGCCTATTCTTATCCACTGATCTTCTGAAGAGCCACCCATGTGAACCTGATGGCCAAATCTGGCTGAAGACACATGGTGTATATTACTTACAGAAGGCATGGACAAATAAACACATACCAGGCTGAACTACACGAGATGTTTATATTACAGAGTTGACTAATTAGCTGCACAGTAAATGCCTGAGTGTCTACGCATGCACCCCTATTCGGCTGGAATATACTAATTTGCTTCGCAGCAGGATAGGACTTGTAAATACTACCTTGTAAATACAAGTAATTTACTATTTTGTAAATACATATAAATACAAGTATTTTCCTGCTTCGGAGTAAAAAACTACACAGCACATGTGTAGACGCTGCTTGGCTGGCTGGAGCATGTGGGTGTTTCAGTGCAGGGACTGCCTGCTAACTAATCCTACAATGAAGCTCCCTCAAGCCACAGCGAGCCCTTCTGCAGCATATTGAGCTGGTGGGGAGTAGCCTTGGGCTGGCAGGCTGACCCCTGATGCCTGAACAAATTGCAGAGCTTATTGCTGTGGAGTTAATTGCTCCCAGGCGCACATTCAAACAGTGCACCTGGGAGCAATAATAAGCAACAACAGTTAACAACAAGCTCCACAATTTATTCAGGCGCCATAATTGAACATGTAGATGCGCCCACCCTGGTGTCACTTAAATGCACCCACCCTGGGTGGCTGCTTGCAGTGGACCACTACTATTCCCTTTAAGAAACAGCTTTAATAAACAGCTACAAAGGGATGTCTGTATAAAGGGAAAGCTAGGTGTAGTAGTCTGAAATTAGACAGAAGGCAGGGCAGGATGGCATCTTAAAATAGATTAAC